ATCCTTCTAGAGTGACAGGAGCCCCAGCTGCCTGGTGTGGGTTCCTTCAGTCTGAACAGGAAACTCACTTTGCAAATGTTCCTCATGGTCCTCTCTTGTGTCTGAGTAATAGGATTCGGATCCCCTGTTACAAGGTGTCTACACACCTGAGAGTGCTAATATTGCATAGCACCCTGTGACACCCTTAAAAGGATCTCCCAGTACACCAGGTAGAAAAATCTCTGTTCTAATGGACTGCAAATGCTATTTAATCCTGGGAGACAATGAGGGCACATATTGTTTATGTCTGTAGAAATCAAGGTCAGTTTGAATTGTATAGAAAACCAACAAAGCTTTTGAGAAAGTGATGTAATTATGTGCCTTTGACTTTGGTCCTTGGAGAACATGTGGCCATTTGAACCTGCTGCAATTAATCTACATAGGAAATAAGGCTCTACACATCATTAGATTTCATTAGATTCTTGCCCAATGCAAAAGTTGATAGTTAGTTGAATTAAGCTAATTGGACAAGAGAGAGTTGACATAGTTTAGCCGAGGATGAGACATAGAACAGCATGAATATGCCATCTACACAACATCTGAAATTGTCTTGCTGGTTCCCCGTCTCCACAAAATCACATATGACAAAACAATGAATTGCTGATCCTACTGAACACGAGTAATCCCCAAATACACATGAACAATAATCAATAAAATCATACCTTTCAACTTTATTGATGGGAAGGAATGAAAATAATGCCACCTCAGTCTCACAAAACCTGCTGCACAGCACACTTCAGCAAAAAGTTAACACTGATTGCTAAGAAATTCACCAGGTTGTGTCTCATAACCAAAAATCCTGCAATTAAGATGTGACTAAACAAAATACAAGTAGTATAAGATATAGAGCAAATTGTGGCTGGAGTCATTCAATCCCATGGTTGGCTCAAAGAGTGATAGGAATTATGGTTTATGGTAGTGTCAGCACGAGCTCCTGAATGCACCTTGTCCATCTTCTTTTATTTTATGTGCCAAACACAGAAATGCAGTGGTAAGGCTGCTCCAGGAATTCCCCTCTGAGACTGCTCATAAGGCCTCCATCTCTAGAGTGCTAGAGAGCAACCATGGGAATTCTCCTAGAGCAGTTTCAAGGACTCTTTTCCAGGTTTGGCACATACAAGCATGAATGGGTGGGCAAAGCATACTTGAGAGCCAGCACACCTAGCAGCAGCAGAGATGTGGTGTAAACATACCTTTAGCAAATGTGCAGCTCTTTACATGTGACAGCAACAAAGATCTTTGGCCTAGAACTCAAACAATTAATAAAAAATGGTTCTAAACCCTATCGCTTACCTGAGTAGAAGAATTAACACTCACAATCTGCTTAACAATATGTTAATGCAAAGCTAAATCTAAATCTAACTACTCTGTTCCAAATCCAAATCATTAATATTAGTGCATGCTAAAGCTACTTTAAGCACCCATAAAACGTAAGACCTCTACTTATTGATCTAATGCTACACAAATCAATATCCTGTATATACCTGTACTAATTAAATAATATTGCTGTACCAGATTCAACTTTGCTTGTGTACCAGAAGATATTTAGCAATGTTATAACAGATCCCACTTCTATTCCTATATTTTTTGAATGTATGTATTATCCTTTTAATAATACAGGGAAATACGTGCATAAATCCCCAAGCACACATATAGAAGAATAGACTCCTTAGTTTATTATTGCAAGGAATATGATGGTATTACTAAACTAAAATTAACCCATAAAATATTAATTACAGATTGATTTAGTTTAGTTGGAATAGCACATTAATGTTTTCACGTGGCAGGAGTTGGCTTTTCTTTTTAAATTGTGGAGGAAGAAGAATGTGGGACAAGTCATAAATGCAGCAATGAAACATCTTCTAACTTTTCACTTCTAAAGACCTGGGTTCAAATTTTGGTTGCATCTGCAAACATAATTTAGTCATGACAATCTGTGACTTAATAGACATTTGTCTGTATCACAAAACAACCATACAGTTGACACTTTTGATCAAGAGAGACTGTGGAAGAAACAGGCTTCACTCTATTGTTTGGTCATGAAGTTGTCAGAGACCTTTATTATACAAGCAACTGCAGGGGAGAGCATCGGACAGACAGAGCTTCCTCTTATCAGTCCCGCATGCCCCGCCCCAGACAGTTGAAGTAAGCTTTTTATGTGTTTCAATTCAGGTCACATGACACAAGATATAACAAGTCAAAGAAAAAGCTGCAAGAGGGCATAAACTGTGGTTTGACCTATTGACCTCATAGGTCTACTCAGCTCAACAAGGGAAAAAGGGCAGGAGAAAGAGCAGATTGCAAAATAGTTGGGGAAAAAGCAATCATTAGCAAATAGTGCACTAACTCAAAGAAGTCAGCACAAATTAAGTCTTGGGGTTTTCTTCTTCCACAAGACCCACAACATCGAATATCAGAGTTTTGCAGGTCAAGATTGCATTGTATTGAGAGAGTTATTAAAGGCAGAGTTTCTCAATTGTTTCAAAGCTTGAGGTAAGGAAAATGAAGCCAACACAACCACTGTCTTCACCATATGTTGTTAAAGACTTACTCTAAGCGAGCCAACATTTGAAGTAGAAAGCCAGATTATT